ATTATAAGATCTAGCTATAGCATGCTTTGTTTTTATTGAGGAATTAATGCATATTGATTAGTATGATTTTTATAGAGCTTATAGCAATGCTTGATGTTTTGGTTCTATGAATAACTTCTAATCTAAGTTTCCCCAACCTGCCATCTTTCAGATGTGTTAGGATTCTAACTTCCAGAATTTCAAATCAGTATACCTTTAGAGGGAATTTTCTCATTACATCTAGAGGGCACCAAACTGGGGAATTCTGTTTTAATCTTTCTGAAATATAAAACAAGTTGTTTTGGTGACTTCAATAGCAAAGATATTTTCTGTATCTAGCAGATACCTATATTTATGATTCTAATTCCTTTTTGCATTTTTAACCTTTATTTTTCTTAATTCTCTGACAAATCAGAAACTTATTAGTAAGTAAAACATAAATGATTATTAAGATACTGGGAGAGATAGAAGCATTACTGACAGTGTTTAAATTAGAATAGCAATGAATAAATATAACTATGACAAGTTTAGGTCACTATACAGAAAGTAACCATGCCACTTTGGAAAGTGACTGGTGGCAAAGGAGGATCAAGTACTACATTTATTACCAAGAGTGCAAATTTCCAATTACTTAGTAAAGATTTTCAAAGATGGTGAGCTGCGCTATTAGCAATGAGAAAATAATATTTTTTGCTTCTATGCACAACTTTTAGCTGAAGAGGCTACCTATTCTTAAAGCTTAGCTGAAGCACAGTATTGTTACTAGTAACTTCCTATTCTCTTCAATATTTATGCAGTTGTTCTACAGGTATCTGACTATTTATGTTGGTATCCATCTTGACTCTGGAATAGGGGAACATTGTTGGACAGATAAACATATATCATAGTCAAATGGCTATAATAGACATGATGTGCAGTATCAAATAGGTCAAATCCTCTTAGCCTTTCAGGATGCTCTTACCATCTTTAATTTATTTTTCTTGGCACATAAGCTCAGTCTCAAACTAAGTACTAAGTTGCACCTACCCATCATTTAAAAAAAAATATATCTAGAGCTCGTGAGATGATGATAAAGCACATTTTTAAAATAAAAAGGTATCTGAAAGAAAATTGATATACAGCATACTAAGATATCAACCCCTCATTACCAAAACATTCTAATTTCTTTTTCTTTCTTTCTTTTTACATTATTCTATGTTAATTGTTGAAATTTTAATGAAAAATGTGGGTTGCTATCAAAGGAATACTTGTACCCTGTTCCTATTTCATTCATTTTAACTTAATACCCAAAAAATTAAACAAAAACTAAAACCAACTTTTAGTTCCAGGAGACATGCCACATTGACTAACAAGAACTTCAAGAGGTATCATGAATTAAGATCATGGATTTGACCAAAGTCAAAAGAAGGCATGTTTTCTACATTTTTCATAGGCATATAGATGAGACAGTTTCAACAGGTGCAACTTTTCTCATTATTGTATAAATGGTAAAATTTCTTTGTGTTCTCTATACCAAATATAAAATGATTAGTAACTACCTTAAGATACATTCTAATGATAATCTTATGAAACAAAATGAATGAATAAACTAGGTTCTCAGAAGGAAGGTTTTCTTCTTGGTTTTAAATGATTTGATTATCAACATTCAAGTTGAACTTTCTTACCGAAGAGCAAAACTAACATCTTTACACACTTTCCAATTTAGTATCCATTATGCTTTCACCTGAGCAAGTGTTTAAAAGTCAAGAATTCTTAGCACCAATGATAGACTGAGCAAAATAGTACTGTTTGTACAATTAACAACCAAAAGCCTTAACAGTCTAGTCTTATTTTTTTTGTGAATTTGGTGAAGGCATTAAGTTTAATGACTCCTGAGGGAATAATCTTTTTTTTTTGCTAGCCAAAGATTAAGATCATTATTAATAAATGATCATGATTTGATTTGAATGAGTACATTCAAAGTTTGACTTTTTAAAAATATTATTAAGGACATATTCAATCTCCACACTCAAACTTCAATTTTCATAAACTAATTTCAATATATAGTTGTGCTGGTTTGAAATTATTAAATTAAGTATTGCCTATTTCATTTAATATCTTGATAAATTAATACCAGATGGACATTTGCTGTGTACAATATTTATAAATTTTCAAGAGTAAAATGTAGATGAATTCATACTCAGACAGAATCATCATCATCATAGAACTGTGGCAAAAGAAAGCAAAGCTAGTACTAATAATAATAGGTGCCATGCTACTATCTCACATCATTTGGAGCGCTACTTGAACACCTTTCAGCATTGCCAAAAATCACAAAGAGTCAACTGCAAGACAATTGCAAGACAGTTTTACTTGGAACAGCTTACATCCTGCAACAATACCTTTAACACCATCTAATAGGAACATCTGCCTATCTCAGATCCTTGAGAAGGACTTTTGACAGGTGGATAATTCCAAATGCAACAAAACCTCTGGCTAACCCTGTGGCCAACCATGATAATAACACCATCAAATAATATAAAGAAAGTTTCTGGATATTGTTGAGATTTTTTCCAGTAAAAAAGTTTTTTTTATTAAACTCTGAAGTAAGGATGGAAAGTAAAATCCTGAAATTAAAGCAATACTTGAGAAAAGCATTGAGATAATACAATCTTATTCCGAGAAATGAGGGACCAGTATACAACAGGGAATAGATAGCCAAAGAAAGCTAGCTGAGGGACAAATGGACACAGGTAAGAAATTACCTTAGAACCAATCCACTAAGCAACATGTTATACTCCTATTCAAGTATACAGTTACTTGAAAAGAAGGGGAAAATGTATGAGTAATGAAGGAGGGGGGGGGCATTAAGAATATGCAGGGCTGCCCAGTGAGTGCCAGTATGCTGTTCTAAAGTCCATTGTGCTAGAATACAAGGTATTATTGGAGCATCAAGAAGGGCTTAAACTATCATCAGGGATTAGAAATGAGTCCCACTGGGGAAAACAGCACCAAGACAGAATGAGTATTTCCATGAGATTTAAAAACAACACTGAATGGTGACAAAAAAGAACTAGGTAGAAAGAAGTTTCTGGATGGAAGGTTCAATAATTCAGAAAGAGGACAAGAAGTACAGGTGAAGTTGACACAGTGTTGGGGAGGGGGGACAGAACAGAAGGAAATACTTGGAAAGATTTCTAAGAGATAAACTGGATGAGCATGTGGGTTTTGCTAAGAAGGGACAATACTCTTAAAAAGCAGTTCAACTTGGACTAATCTGATTGGGAATTATAAAAGGGAAATGGTGTATTGGGGGACATGCCGATGAAAGCATGGGACAATTGGGAGCCACTTCTAGCTTCCAAGTCAGATTCTAACTCTTTACTGTCTTTCCTTTCTGGAATTCCTTGTTCAGAAGACTGAAGGTCCCACCCAGCAACACCAGTTCTCCTGAACAATCTGCCCATAGTTTGTGAGGGAGATCTAGGTGTCCCCTATGGCAAAAAAGGAGGTGTGAGTGAGGAGGGAGAACAAGCTTCATCCCAAAATAGAACAGAACACAGGAAAAGGTTCCAACACATATATATTACTTCACTCTCATCATCCTTCAGTTATCCCGCATCAGAAATATGAATGGGGGCGGGGGGAGGGGGCGCCCGAGGCAGGACTCATGATTTGGGAGGCAAGTTGAAGCTTTATAAAAAAAATGGACCACCTCTTCTTTCTGGTACCAGGGAGCCTATAGAAAAAGGCTGTCCACCCCCTATCCCCCCAAAACCGGCAGGGAGGGAAAGGGAGGAAAGAGGGATGGCGGCATGAGAAAACAGCAGAGCAGCAAAGACGCGACGCTTTCGGAAGGAATGCCTACCGCAGGCAAAGTGCAAGCCTGTGAGGGAATGCAGGGAAGGCGGCAGGCAAACCGGGTGGAAGAAACCGCCTCCGAGAAGGGAGGAAAGAGCAGCCCGCGTATCCGCGGCGGGCGGGCGCGATTCGGTAGCAGAAGATGCAAAAGATGAGACGCCCCCGAGCAGCCCGTTGGGAGCAGGGAGAGTTTGAGAAGGTAAACAGCCACGCCCCCTACAGTCCTCAGCTCCACCGCGCAGCTCAATCGCAGCCGCTGCCTGTACATTTCCATTCCGAATCTCTCTGGATCCCCCAGCGGCGTGACTCTCGTCCTCGCTCCCTCCCTTTCCGCCCCCCCCCCTCCATCACCATCACGCAGCCATCCATCCTTCGGCGCGGCTGCAAAAGCCATCAGCGCCCCAGAGAAGCTGGTGCCATTCAAAGCCCCGTGGGGCTCTCCCACCCCAGCCAAAGACTGCGCTGCTTCTTCTGCCTGCCTCCTGGGCGCATTGTTTATGTCTGTTGCAGGAGCTTGGCAGGAACCCCACAACCTCAGCACGTGAGAGGAGCCGATCATGTGGGTGCACCAGCTCCAAGACAGGCAAATGCTCCAAAACGTGCTGCGTCTCAACAAAAATGAAACTCCCGTCTCCTAATTGCCGCGCGATCCCCTTTTGCACGACTTGACACCCACACCCACGTAATTCCCCACATGCAACGCACATTGTTTTTTTTTTACCCTCCAACCCCCCCCCCCCCCCCCCCCCCCCCCCCCCCCCCCCCCCCGCCGTCCTGGGTTCATATTCTGGAAGACTATTTTTCCTCCCGGTGTCCTCTCTTACCCCGCCCTCCCCCCGGTTACTCTTCAACTGTGGCGAGTCCCCTCCCCACCCCACACACCCCCTTAAGACCTTCTGGGGTTACCTCTGCCGCAGTCATTAATCCGAGGAACCGTTTCCCGAGGCTTCCGTTCCTTTAAAAAGTTGTTGTTTACATTCCTGCCGCCTCCCTTTTAAAACATGACTGACCAACATGCGCAATCAATCTCTAAAAAACGCTGCACATCCCCCCCCCCCTTCCTTTGCAGGCAGTAGTCAGGGAGCAGTAAAACAAATGCAAGGAGGGAAGGGAGAGAAGAGAGAAGAGCTGCAAAAACCCGGAGGGGGGGGGGAAATGGAGCAATCCTCCACCCATTTTACCTTTGCTGGGAGAGAGCGTCCTCCCAAGAGTTGAGAATGTTCGTCGGGCTACCAGAGAGGGGTAAGCGAGAGATGCTCCAGAAATGGCAACGCTTACGGAATCTCCCTTTGCAAAGATCAACCCGGTACCATTGCGGAGGGCGAGAACGACCCCCCCTCGCAGGATCCGAAGATGATACCCTCCCCTTTCAGGAGTAGATACAAAGTAACTCCATAGATGCATTTAAAAAAAAAAAAATCCGAAGAATTGCTTCCAGCTGAGATGGCCGCTCTGTGCAAAATCCAGCAAGCCCTGTGTGCGCGTTTCTGTTTCTTTTTTAAAAAAATTTCTAGACTTCTTTCCGGATCTTTGTGCAATTGCCCGAACGTCTGCGCCTAGGCTTTTATTATTATTTAATCCCTCGGCTGGCGAAGAACGGACTTCTCCGAAGGAGTGTATAAATTAAGACTGATGCTGGCGAGTTCGCCACTCGGCCCCCCTTCTCTTAATTTCTTCTTTTCTTGCTTGTTGTTTCTCCCTCCTGACGAGCAGCAGGTCCAGGTGCAGCTGCAGACGTGGGTCCCATCCCTGATTGTGCTCGGCATGTGTTGCCTCCCACCCCGGCACACTCCTCGCCCACCCCCTCCCCTCGTTTTCACCCCCCTCCGATGCGCCGAGTCCCCATCTCTTGTCTTTCGGGTGCCCTGGGCAGCTGGAAAAGGCTCGGCTCGCACAGGCGGACTCGCTTTTTTCCCTCGCGCTTCTCCCTCCCGAGCCTGCTCAGGTCACTTTCGCAACGATCTTCAGCCTGGCGCGCTCACAACAGTGGCGGCGGTGCACGCACAGATCACAGAGCTGGAACACTTTCTTCGCTTCCTCCGCTTTTCATACGCGCACACGCCCCCCCCCCTCCGGTCTCCTTTTCCCCCCGCCGCCGCCGCGAGCGCTTTCGCCTCCTCGAAGCGATGCAAAGGCGTAACGGCAAAGCCTGCTGCTGCAACCTTACGAAAAATAACCTTATACTTAGCAAAATCTTTTGGCGCCATATTAATGACGTACTTCAAATTTGCCATTTCTTCCTGCGTCAAATAGACGTTTCTTACAACTAACAGATGAGGTGCAGAGCGGAGAGGGCGAGCGCAGGAGTGAGAAGAAGTGGGGGTGGGGGGAAGAAAGAGGGAGAAAGACCCTCGGACCGTATTTTTTTTATTAAAAATAAGCCCTCGCGTGTAAGGGGGGGCGAGGGGGGCTATCGCCTCCGAGTAGACGTGCACGAGGAGCGGGCAGGGGGGCAAAGTAACCGGGGCAAATGCAGATGGGAACGAGATTGCTCTCTTTGCGGATCCCAAAGTTACTCGGCGGCGAGGCGAACGGCGGTTTGTTGAGGGAAATGGTTCTCCGGGAATCACCTTGGGCCGAGATTAAACTGGCTTTAAAGCACTTGTTTCTTTTTTTATGATTATTATTTTCGTTCGGAGAGGTGCCCAGCGGGGGAGAAAAGAACGGAGCAAAATGTCGCGCTCTCTGTCTCTCCCCCCACACCCCCGACTTCGTCCCATGAAGCCGGGTTGCTTCGTTCCCGGCAGTCTCTCTCTTCTGCCCTGGGCTCCCTCTAGCTCTCTTTTCAAGGCTTTTTGGAAAGCGGCGAGGGAAGCGAAGTTTGCGCCGTTTTGCACAGGAAGAAAAAGCCCTAGGGCCGCCCTCCTCTAGTTCTCGACTTGACCTTGCCATGCACAAACAATGCACTTCAAGCCGTGTGGCTGAGAGGGTGTTTGTCTGTTTCCCTGTAAGCGGCAGCGGCAACCGAGAACTGCTCCGACCTCCAGCTGGCCACACCCACCGCTGCTGCTTTCGGCAGGCACCGACTTCCAGAAGAAGGGCGATTATTTCACTCTAGAGAGGAAGAGAGCGGGATAGGCCGCCTACCTGACCGGCTCCCGCCCGCTCCAGACACCCAATCTCTTGCCCTGGATGGCATCTTTACAAACCCCCGCACTCCGGGAACTTTGATAGCCTTTTCTCAGTGGCCTCATTCCTTCAGTCCCAGGGAGAACTTTCCTTCCCCCCCCCCCCGCCCCCTCAAAAGCTGGTCTTGCTTGTTCGGGTTTTGGAGTCAAGTGTTATCATTGCTACCAATCGTCACTCGATCGATTGGCAGGTTTTCTAGCTAAAGGGGAATCGCACCCATACACAGCATGCGAGCACTCTTGCACCTTTGACTTTAGCCTTGTTGCAATTTGAGTCCATTCTGTTAAAAACTTCCCTGTTAGTCCCTCCTGTCTCTTGGCCTTTGCTTCTTTCTGACAGTAAAATGAGAGGCATATTGTGAAAAAAAGAAGCGGATAAAAAGATCCTTACCATATTGCTATCCGAAATTATATTAGTCAGTGTAACCTAGGATTTTTGTTTTAATTGAGGCAAGCTTCCTCTCAAACAACTGATGTTGTGAGGTCACTGGATAATGCTTCTCAGGCTAATAATAGCCATCAACAGGAATATCTGCAGGAAGAGGGTTAAAAAAATCAGCATGGCATCCATTATTATCTTGTGGTCAAAGCTTCACCTTTTTTATGTGCATCATGACATGTAAAAACAGGTAGGGGCTTTGATTACATGATTATGACCACCAGCCTGGCTTTGGGTTGTTGTTTTTTTACCTTCCTGTGGACACCCTTTATCCCAGATATTGAAACACAAATTTAAACTATGGTATATAATGATACCTCAAAATCTCTAAAGGAAATTGTCAACATATTTGGAGGGCACAAGAATAGGGAAAATAACCAAATTCGACTTACACTGTATTTGGAAATGACTGGACAGACTAGATCCAAATGCTAAAACATGGGTTTTCCTTAAATAGGATATTGAACGAATACCAAGTGTAGCACGCTGCCATGTTTGTTGTTCAGTCAATGCACTGTATACATAGATCTGTTGCTAAGAGTTGAAAATGACCATCATATGTTTAAGCTTCTATCATTATTTCCTAATATCATGGTCTTTACATGAATAGTATATGTTTCCTTCTCTTTTGTCATGTTCTCATCGTAGGTTAAATAAATAATAGTGATCTGCCACTCCCATCATTCAACCAGCTATCCTGAGTGAGGACAATGGAAGTTACATCATTGTAACTTCCATTGTTACATCAAGTTACAGGAACATCTTGTGGACAATTGCTGAAGGAAGACTATTTTGGTTGCTGAATATATGTTTTGCATACCCCAGGATGTTATCCAGAGAATAAATGTAGACCGTATTTTGCTTTGACTCCTTACTTTCTTTGAATTAGCAGGCCCTATTTTTTTTTATTAAGGATAAAGAGTTTATCACTCATACAGATGACTTCTGAAATACATCACCAAGTGAGATACAAGCATACAAAGCAATAGTGAAGCATTTTTATTGTATTTTTATCCCATCTTTATCATTTTGTAAGTAACTCAAGATGGCAATATACATACCTAATACTCCTTCCTCCTCCTATTTCCCTGCAACAACAACCCTGTGAGGTTGGGCTGGCCTAAGAAAGAATGATTGGCCTAACACCCATTTGATCTCCATGCCTAAGTTGAGACTAAAATTCCTGGTTTCTAGCATGGTTCCTTAACCACTAGATCAAATTGGATTTAATTATAATTGTGTGTGCATGTGTATGTTACTGAATATATTGTTAAATAATTAATATAGAAATCCATAATAGATGTATATCATTTAGAATTATAGCTATAAAGCTTCACTCTTAGAAATTGTCAAAATCAAGGAGTTTGTCATATACATGTACACATATATGATGAACATTAGTATTTTACTGTCATATCTGTCAGGAAAAACAACATGTTTGTTGGATTGCACATAAGAGAATAGAGTATTGTCATTTGCAACATCGATAGATAAATTCTTCAAGAAGTGTATCTGATTAATTCAAACAAAGATAGCATCTACTTATTATAGGGATGCAGCTGATATCCAGGACATGAATTAAGATTCCCATTCTCAACCCCCACTTTTTTATTTAGCTTTTGTTAACCAAATCTAGTGTAGCAGTGGATTCCATTTCAGCAGACTATTGGCTACAGATCAAAAGAAATGAATCACTGCTGCAGCAGGCTCACAAATAACATATCTTCAGTCTAAAGGCTAAACCCATAATTTCTTGATGAAGGCAACTTGTTAGTTTCTGAATGAGTATCCCAACTGGAAAGTCCCTTGTGCATACTATTTTGAACCTTAACAGTAGGATATATTTATAATTGATAAATAGGTATTACAGATGGATGCAGTTGTGCAGCCACAGTTAACATACACCTCTTGGAGTGAGAAGAGAGAAATCCCATCCTAAGGGTTGCGGACATGGAAGAATAAAAAAAGCACTGAGAAATATATAGTATTCAGAAAAATCACAAAAGGGCTCCTCTCTGATTCACTATATAATATAAGAGGAAGGGGAGAGAGAGCTGACTCAGGCTTACAAGATTTTATTACAGTAGTATATGCCTGTAGACTAGAGTTTTTCTTGTGGAGTCTGTTTCCTGATCTGGACTATTCCACCATGGAAAGAGAGCTATCCAAGTACAGGAGGATTCTTCCTCTAAGTGGATCTTTTTTTTAAGGGAAACTCCATCCTTGTTTTGTTTTTGTCTTTTTGCTACTCCTTTCATAGGAGGAGCCGCAACTTCTCTTCGTGGGCTGGCAGAAAGCCAGGTAAACAGGCCCAATCCTAAAGGAATTAGAATTAGAGATTTAGGGAAAATATAGCAATTGAAGGAATATTAGAGCAACCCAGGGACTTTATTTATTTAGATAAACAGCAAATACAAAATGGATCCTCCTATAAAATGGATATAAAGTAGTATAAAAACACATTTTTAAACCTTTTTTCAGATGCCCATAACAATTGTATAGTTTATAGAATACACGGTATTTTTCTCCTTGTAAATCTTGTTCTAATTCATTTATGGAAATTCTCAATCATCAAAATCATGGTTGTCTCAAAGGTGCTTTTCAAAAGGCAACTGGACTTCCTTGGGTTTTTTTCCTTGAAACATTTCCCTTCTCATCTAAGAAGCTTCTTTAGTTCTAACTGAAATGTTTTCAAGGAAAAAAACCCAAGAAATTCTAGTTGCCTTTTGAAAAACACCTTTGAGACTTGTTCTGATTTCTTGATTCATCTAATATTTCTATAAAATGAATTAAGTGAATAACCGGAAGCAATGTCTTACAACCTAACAAACCTTCAATTCTGTTTCAGTTATAGGATTCGTATATCATGTGATGTCAAAAGTTTTAATTTATGGTTTGTAAGCCACAAAGGCCTATTTCACACAGAAATGCTAAGCCATACTAGCTGGGTTCACATTCACACTAAGTCCAAAACAAAACAAAACACAGCATAGTTTAATGCAATATCTGAAGATGATAGGTGGCTCAAAAATGTGCAAAGTAATGAATCAATCAATAAGTGTGAATCTTTACAGTGTCTCAAAAAGGAAAGCAGTGGTCATTAGCATTCTGGTTACAGGTTAGTGATGAACATCATTCCCCCCCCCCCCTGCTTTTCCTGTCTTAGGATCAAAGTCTTGCTTCTCCTTTCTTTACTCTGTATCCACTGGAAAAGTAAAGAGAGCAGATTCTTTATAAAACAGTACAAGAAGAACAGGAATATTTTCAGAACAAAGATTGTTCTAAAACTCTCATCATATATTCAGTCTATGTGTATGTATTCATAAACCCTATAAATCTTTAGAGACATCTTGTCAAAGAAACTGAATCTACGGTAAACACTGATAAGCCTGAAACTTCTGACCCTTTAGAAATGAAGTGTGCATGCATAACTGTATCATCAAAATTCAATTTCTTTCTCTTGTAACCTTTTTTTAATATCCTGAAATTTGACTATA